CCGCTGCCGCCGTCCCGCGGCCCTGGCCCGCCGCGTCGCCCATGCTGCCCGGGCCCGCGCTGCGTTCGGGCGGGAGCACCGCAGACCACGAGCGCCGGTCCCGGAGCGGCGGCCCTGCGGCCTTCCGGGGCGCCTGCTGCCTCCGGCTCTTGGTCGGGCGGGGAGGAAGTGGGGCCGGCGATCCCAAAGCCCTGGCGGCGGCTCGGAGCGTCCCCCAGGCCCCGATGCCCGCGCCCCCGCCCCCGGGCTCGGCTCTTCGCGCCGCGAGCTCCCTGGGCCGGCGGCCGCGGAGACCCGAACTCGGAACTTGGGGAGGGCTCGCGGCGTCGCTCTGAGCCCAGTCTCGGCCGGATTCTGGGGGAGCTGGCTCTTTCCTTCCCCCACTTCCCCACTTCTGAGCCACGAGCTTGGGCACGACCGGGTTAAGTGCCCTGGGATGACGCACCTGGGGTACCCCACCGGAGGTCAGACTTCTCCGCGGCTGGGCAAATCCTCGTGGCCTATTAAGAGGACCCACGATTTTGTCTGCATCTATAAAGACAGGTGAATAAGCGGAACAAGTAGCCCATCCCCCTTTAATTTTTTTTAAACTTTTTTTTTAACTCCAACCGCCTGCCAGGCACCAGGCCAGTCACTTTATATTATCTCCTCCTTATGTATATTATTTAATCTACATAATCCTCCCAGGCTGACATTATTAATCCCATTTTACAGATAAGGAAACTGAGGCGCACAAAGTTCAAATAATTTGCCCAGGGTCTCACAACTAGCAGGTCTCAGATCCTGGAGGAGGTCGATCTGGGGCTTCGGCAGAGCCTAAATCCAGACTACTTGCAATATACCAGCCGGCTTTTCTCTCTCCCTGGGTCCTTGCCCTAGAAAACGTCTGTGCTACTTGGCTGAGGCCACCACTGCTTGAGCTGAGAAAGAAAAGAGGGGAAGTATGGCCAAGAGCTCCCCAGGCTGGGTTACTCCAAGGTTGCAGAGCAGTCCCTGCCCATCCTTTCCTGTTCCCTCTGAGATAACCTGGAAGCACAGTATTACCTTGTGGCCTCCTCAGCACAGGTTTGGGGATAATAACAAAAATGATCACCGCTGAGCACGTACTCTGAGCCAGGAGCCCTTTGTTCTCAGCTCTTTCCCTGTGTGAACTTATTTTGTTCTCACCACAAACCCCGTTAAGATGGGTATAATTTTCCTTCAGGCACCTCTTATGTATCACTATCTACACTGTACAGAGGAGAAAACCGAGGTCCTGAAAGTTTAGGTAATATTCCTTAGGTAAGTAGGTAATAAATCAACCAACAAACCTGGGTTCAAATCCCTGCGGCATTATTTCATTCTCAGAGCCTCAATTTATCCCTCTGTAAAATGGAGATAATGTTCATTTAATGGATTAAGTTACCATTTGGGCACCCATGCAAAAACTGGAAATTTGGGGAAGAATGTGGGGTTCTGAAAGTTGAGTTGAGAGATAAGTCCAGTTGGCCCTATCTCAGAGTGGGAACCACCACCGGCCCCCAAAGAAGCAGACTCCTAGGGGCCACCCTGGGGTAGCCTCCAGCAGCAGCACCAGCCACATTGGGAGAACAATACTTCAGTCAGATGGAGACAGGAAGTGAGTCACGGTTCTTCCTCAGTCTGTGAGCAAGAGAACCTCATTGAGGGGAAATAGGGACAGCGCTCGCCCCACCTAGCCTCTCAGTCCCCCAGTGCCTTTCCCACTTGTCCTCTGACCTACAGAAAGGTCAGCCTGGAAAGAAAGCAATCCTGTCTGAGTGCCCCACCCATCCTGGAGGCTGGCCCCAGGGGAGCCGCAGTGGGGCTGAGGAGGAGGGGCTAGCCCTGTCTCAGATGGCTGCCATCCTGGCAGAGGAACTGGAGCTTTCCAGTTTCTTCCCGACAGCCTGCCCCTCCAATCCTGCCTTTGGCACGAGGAGAATTCGTTAAACTGTGTTGCTCAGAAGTGCATCACTGAGGGGAGGAGAGAGGAGAGGATTGAGCGAGTGAGCACCTGCCCTGCCTTTGCCCAGAGCATCTTCACCTTAGTCCTGCTCCTGGGTTAGGATTTCACATACACTTGTATTTTACAACAATCCTGTTGTTAAAAAAAGAATGTGGAAGCCACTCTCCTTGAGAATGGGCCCTCAGGAGAGAATCCAAGCTTGCCACAGCTGGTGACCGCTAGCCAACTTCTTCCCTTATCTCCTGGAACAAGTCCTGTGGGCAGGTTTTGTTCCGTTCATCACTCCCCATTTATCTGAGGCCCTAAGGCCAGAGGGAGCTAAACCGCCTGTGGAGCTGGCACCCCCCCCACACCCACCTGCTACCCTGGGAAGCCCCAGAGCCTCTGGATCACATGATCAGTTTTACAGTTAATAGGACAGGGGACCCTAGGTGACAGAAGCCTAGAGATAGGGTGGAGGATGACCTGTGAAGAGGAGCAGGGCCTGATGGGTAAGGCCTGAGGGAGGAAGGACCCAGCTTCCCAGCAGGGATCCCAAAGGAAGGGTCCAGCCAGCCAGGCCTTTCTTGATCCTTGGATTTGGAGCTAATCTGGGAGGCTCCTGGGCAACAGTAGTCCTATGGTAAAATCCAGCCAGTCACCCTCACCCCAGGAACTCCCATTGTCCTCTTCTCTCCAAATCTCTTCCCCACCCTCAGGCACCTCCAACAAAGCCTTCAGCCGCAGCACCCACACCTGGTTTTAATCAAAATGTCTACACCACATCCATACATGCATAGATGGCCAGACAACAAAATTTAATTGGTGTTTTCCCTAAAAGGGTGGGATTTGAGAGCTTTTTGGTCTTCTTTTTGCTTACTTGCATTTTCAGTAATTTCTACCATAACTTTTAGAATAAGATAATTAAACTTTTAGTCATGCAAAACTGAACAAAGCATACCCATACTTCACCATCTCGCTCCAGAACACCTGGGGTTCATCCTGAACGCTGCTGGGGCAACAATCAGGCTCTTCCTAGCCCATCATGGGGCAGGGCCCTTCCAGTTCTGGCTAAACCACTTTGGGAAAACCTCCTTTATAGGACAGGCAAACAAGGTGTCTGTGGGTGGGGGGAGGAGCTAGAAGTCGGCTGGTGATGCATCTGGTCACGCTGGGACAGGATCCCGGCACAGCCAGCCCTTCTCATTTTCCCAATTATTGGGCTACATCTGCACTTAACCTCTTACCTGCTGGCTCCGCCACATCCCCAAGTCACTGGTCAGTTTAATGGTTCCCTTCTGCCTGCTTTGTGTCTTCTGCTTTACCTTCAATGCCCAGCCAGCGCTACTCACAATTGGACACCTAATAGGTGCTTTGGGTACAGTCTAGTCTGGCAGGCATTCATTAAGCACCTGCTGAATGCTGGGCCCTGGAGCCTCAAGCTGAGTCCCCTAGAGCTTGTCCTCAGGAAGGCAGCGAGCTCCTCTGGTAGAGTTAGACGGAAGTACCTGAGAAACGCCAGGATCTTCCTGAAGCTGTGCCCTCCCTTCTGGCCTTGTAGCTCCAACAAGCTCTGCCCTTCCTTCTCCCTCTTGATCCAGAAAAGAAACACTCAATTAACATGTCTTCTTGTTGAGTTTTCCAATTAGTTTTGTAATCCGGACCAGAATTTCTCAACCTTGGCACTACTGACATCTTAGGGCAGATGATTCTTTTTTTGTGGGAACAGTCCTATACATGGTAGGATGTTAAGCAACATCCCTGATTTCTAAGCACTAGGGGCCAATAGCACCCTCACCCCCGTTATGACAACCAAAAATATCCCCAGACATTTCCAAATGTTCCCTGGGAGGCAAAATTGCCCCTGGCCGAGAACCACTGGTCCAGAATGAGGGATGGGAGTGGCGTGGGTTGGCGTGCCAGGGTTCGAGGCAGCAGGAGTTGTCTACTCAGAACTATGCACCCAGACAGCTGGCAGCAAGGGAGAAAACTCCCAAACCCCAAACTGCCAGGCAGGGCAGTGCAACAATGGGGCCATTTAGTGTTCAGGGCAAGCAATCTTATGTATCTCCACGACATCTGAGGACATGGCTCTCAGGAATGCTAACGATAATGCTGCATCGAGGAGAGGAACAATCACGCTGATCACACTCTGTTTACTTAGGTGAGGAAGTGGATGAGACAGCTTTGCATTAAATATGTATTTAGAAAGCAGATCCATGGTTGCTGGGGGAAGAGCGGCAGGGACGGGCGGGGCGGGAGGAGACTTTGGGGAGTGATGGATATGTTCATTATTCTGATTGTGGCGATGATTCCATGGGTATAAACGAACGTTAAAATGGATTAAGCTGTACACTTTAAATTGGTGCAGTTTGCAGTGTGTCAATTATACGTCAATAAAGCTCTTTTTAAAATGTATTTCATTGTTCCAAGTTTTAGTGCTTGAAAGGAATTATTTTGAAAATTTACTAACGTGAAGTAGCCATTTCTTGACTGTGCCAGATAAATGGGGGTGGGGGGGCACGGTAGGACTTAAAAAGAAAACAGAAAAAAAGGAGAAAAGGATCAGGTACCTCAAGGCTGACCCAGGGAAGGCAGGAAAGGGATGCTGAGAACATTCAGCTCAGGTGTCCTTCCATGAAGCCAGCGAGAGCCTGTCTGCTGGCTTAGAGGAAGCACTGGAGAGTTTTCCCTTTGGGTGATGCTATCAAACCAACGTGTCTGGAGCGGTATTATCAGGGGCTTGGGAAAATAAAATAACAAATGTAGTGCCGGCTGCCAGGAAGGGAACAGATGAATCTGGAAATTACAGGCTCCTCTACTACCTTTAATCCCTAAAACAAACATTGCTGGGGGAAAAGCCAGTTAATACCTGGAGGAGGGCAAGTATTATCCCTCAGTGGGGCTGGTACACCTGGGGAGCAGAGAGCCTTTATAGGAGCTGGCTGCACGGGAAAGTTGCCAGCACTGCCCGTGCGCAGGGCTGTGCACTCGGCAGGGAAGGGTGCTGAGAAGCCCAGGAGGGAGAGCTGTGGGCGGCCAACAATGCCTCTCACTGACAGTTCAAGTGCTTTTTAGTTGATAGGGACTTCCACCGAGGTTCTCAGGAGCCCTGAGTGAGGCAGGGGAGCCAGGAGAGGCTGCGCGAAGCGAATGTTCTGTGACAATAAAAATCTCTGTTTGTGGCAGGTTGATTATGCACTAGGGGCTTCATTCATTCCTTCCTCAAATATTCACTGAGCACCTGCTGGGTGCAGGCCTTGCTCCAGGGCTCCAGTGGTGAGGGAGGCAGACAGCAAGTAAATAAGTAAATAAGTTTATAAGAGAAGTTCAGCTCATCCTATGAACTCAGGAACAAAAATAGCAAAGGGTGATGCTGTAGTCCCTGGGGAAGTCAGGGAAGGCCTCTCTGAGGAGGTGATACTTGAGCCAAGGCTCCAGCAAGGGACAAAGATGTGAAGGTCTGGAGAGAAGGTGTCCCAGGCAGCAGGCAGAGGAAACCGTGGGACACGGGCCTGCTGTGTGAGCTCCTGTCCTTGGAGAGCAGGCACTTCCCAGAGCGCCGTGGGAGAGGGTGACAGTGGGAAGAGATGGGATGAGAGGGGTCTGCAGGGCTAGACCACGCAGCATGTGGCAGGCCGGTCAGGACGTGGAATCGAACTCCCGCAACAATGGGCAGTTTGGGGCGAATTTTACTACTTTGCCCCTTTCAAGGGCCCTTCTGACTACTGTGGGGAGAGAAGACACGTGGTGGGTAAGAGTTGGAGCCCCACAAGAGCTCTATGCAGGAGGTGCCATCTGCGGCCCTCCCTGTTACACGAGGGGTGAGAGGTGTGGCTTGGGGAAGTTGGGTGACATTCATAACCCAGGAAGCAGGTTTGTGGGCTCCTGAACAGGGGGCAGACCTGGGAAGGGTGGACGGAAGCCCTGCCACTGCCTACGCTGGGAAGGCCGAGCTTCCTCAGGCTGAAAGCTGGCCAGGACGGCCGGGCCCAGGCCCCCACTGCCCAACTGCTTGGGTGGTTTCAGGTGTTTCTCCCTAAATCACACTGCTATCAGCATCTTTAACTGCAGACTTGGCAACAAGGGAGGCCCTTGAATTAAAGCTCAAACTCTCAGAAAGCTCTTTCCCTGTTAGGCACCCTGCTAAGTGCTTTCCTCCGATTGCCTCTATTTTTCAAAGCATCCCTGGGCCAGCACGGCACCATTGTTATTCCCATTTTACAGACGAGGACCCTGAGGCCTAGAGAACCTGCTTGGATCACAGTTAGGACGAGGAGGATCCAAGATTTGAACCTGGGGAGCATACACACAAACCACTTAGCTTTCTGCCACTAGAAGAGAGTGAACTAGAGCTGAATCAGACGCCGATTCCTGAGGCACCGTGCTGTGGGTGGCTCTGCTGTGATTCACCTCTGACTTCTTCTTGGACAAGGCTTGTTTACCTGTACTCTCCTTGCCATACGTGTGGGTGTTTCTGTAATGTGTGCACTACAGAACTGTGGGGCTGCCCTTCCCCCACAGAGGGTGCCAGTTAGCAGCCCAGCCCTAGGCTCAAATCCAGCCCGCCATCCCTGGGCAAATTACTTAACCTCTCAAGGCCCCAGTTTCCTCATCTGTAAACTGGGGTGAAAACTACCCAGTGCATCAGATGATACCTGTGAAGTGTTCACTCAGCACAGGGCCAGGTCAGCCACGGTGGCTACTATGATTAAATGAACCCTTCAGTCTGAGGCAGGAAGGCTCTTCCAGCGGGCTGGCCATGGAAGCGTCTCTAACTCCTCCGCATTGGCCCAAACACAGGCGTTCATGGATGAAATCTCTGCCCTCACCCTGGGACTCTTCCTTGGTGCTTTTAGGTTATTGTTTCCCTAGGAGGAGACCTGCTAGCCTCCTTGCACTACCGCTGTGCTCAGAGCAGCCTTTGGTGTGGCCTGGTTCCTGGGTGGCCCACGAGGTGCCATGTAACCATTTTGCAAGCTGCTCGCTCCTTTGACCCCTTGCCTTTGAGGTCAGAGTTCAGCGGACATTCCTCTGAGGCAGTGCTTCCCAACATGTTCGCATCATGACGTGCAGAAAGTGTGGACAGCCCCCTGGGGCAGAAGGACCAGGCTGATTGAAGCTGGTGGGGTCTCACTGGCAGCTGCCACCCTACACCCTGATGCCTGCTTGGGGCCTGGGTGCTTCAGAACCTGTCTCAGATACAGGAGTGGGCAGTGCTCTTTAAGGGGTCTGGCCACAGGGAGACAGGTGGCTGTACTGTCTCCCAACACTGGCCACATCGTTGTGCTGCTAAGTTCTGTCTGCATAGAGGCCTGGCAGGGCCGATCTTCCTGACTGTCTTGTTTTTAGAGAGAAGAAATGTTTTCCAGATAGTATTCTAGGAAGATCGTTCTCCTGGGAAGCAATAGGGCTCTTTATCCCTGTCAGTAAGTCTCTAATCTGAGTCTTGTGCATTCCCTTTATGGGGAAGGGACCCCTGCAGCCTCCCCAGTACTGATTAAGGTAAGTTATTTTTGTTGTATTAGGCATACTCCACTTTTTTAAAAACACCCTTATTGTGGTATGATTCCTGCACAGTAAACTACACATATTTCACATGTACAATTTGATGAATTTTGATAGATGGGCATACTCCTTCTTATAGTTCTCATGCAACCAGCAATCCAAAATGAATCAAAACTATATAGAAAAATACACGTAAAGCAATCTTGTTCCTACCTCAGCCCCTTCTGTGCAGACCCCTTCCACACTTACCAGTTTTTATTAGATTGGATTTATCCTTCCAGTGTTTCTTTCTGCAAAAAAGAAGAATAAAAGTTATATATGTACACACACAATTATCTCTTTTCTTATACTTCCCTCTTTTTATCAAAAGGTAGCATATTAATTTTTTGGGTTTTTTTACTTAGCAATACATTCTGGAGAAGTTTACACAATAAAAATAAAACCACAAACCCAATACAATTCAAAGTGACAACATTAGTTTAATGGGAAGGATGATGTTGTTTGGCGAAAACAAAATTGCCACTTGCAGCGATATGGGACTGACCAATGAGAGCAGATCTCCTTTTGAGTTT